GTTAGCCTATAAAGAATTTAGTGTACTTTGCATTCAGAAAAAGGAAGGCTTTGATATTTCCAAACTTGCAGTGAAAAGTACTCTGACTTTCAGAAGCCTTGTCTCTAGCTGTTCTGTGCATGATGCTGTTCTTTTGGCTGGGTGAAACAAAATAACAAACTAACATTGCAGACAAGAGAACTGTTTGTTTTTCTTTTCCATGTTACTGTACTCCTGCCCCTGACTCAACAGGTAGCAGTAGGAGATATTGTGAAGGTCACCAATGGGCAACATCTTCCAGCAGACATGATCATTATCTCTTCCAGGTATCCTGAATGGGTGTGGAAATGATGTGTCTGATGAACTGAGGTGCAGAGGACTGGAAACTCTGTATTTGCTGTTAATAAAAACAGACATCAGATGGCACTAATTTTTCTCCACATCTGAAACTGAATTTCAGCAATGTCAAAACAGTGCTTTGCTAGGTGGTGATTACTGTATCATTGTAGATAGGTTCTGAAGGAAGTAGGCTTCTTTAAGACTTCATAGTATAATGTACGTGTAGTTGACAAAGCGTATCACTGAGTTTGTTTGAAGACTGAATGTCAGTTACACAAGCTTCATGCAGTCAGTTGCTCTATGGCCTTCTGAGGATTCCTCCATTTAATAAAGGAAGTGTAAGTTTTCTTCCAATTAATTCCAGAGTTTTCAATATATTCACTTGCCTCAGGAAAGACTTTCTTTCAAAAAGTAATTCTAAAAGGCTGACCCAGCTGGCATCTAATAACTAGCCTGCAAAATCGCTTTTGGGCTTCATTTGTTTATGCCTTATCTTTGATAAAGCGCAAGTATAGCCCTTCCCTAGCATGGCAGCAACAGTAAACTGTTGAGTCCTGCTCATTTTAGTTTGTGAAATATGGGGCAACTTCTTCATACCGATATACTGGCAAGCAGAGCTTGATCATTAGTTCCTAAAAGCATTTGTGTGGTGCTTGGCTGCTAATCTGGATTCTGTATTTGTGTTGAACAACTCGAAGCTAAATCAAGACCACTGTCCACTTAGGTGAGAGTAAACAAGAGACAGGCATCTTGAACATGCTACTTTTTTTGCTCTCTCTCTAATAGTCAAACCTTAGGACGCCTTGCTCCTCTCCATAATTTCCTTCTGTCCACATGCTTTTCAGCAGTGACTGCAGTTTGCTTTGATTTCCATGTTACATTTCTCTTAGACAACATGACTTTTAAGGGAAGTTATTTTCTAAGTTACTGCATTTTCTGCTCCATCCTTGTCTGTGCCATTTCTGAGAGGTTTCATTTTTTTTTTTTAAACCTGTATGGAGAAGCTCAGCCTTTTTGAACTGTCACGTAATCAAGGATAGAGGTATCTTCATTCCATAGTACACAATATTATGTTCTTTTTAAAAACAAACCCCAAATATTAAATAAGCAGTTGTCAACCTTAATATGAAGTTAGTTAGGCTACACTTTGACATCAATAACTTCTTGTTTCAGCACTTAGGAATATTTGTTTCACTTGAACTTGTCTGATGTATTATAATACTAAAAGAAACTGATTTATTTCTTAACTTGCATGGGTCAGCTTTTTGTTCTATGTTATCCCATTAACCTGCTGTCACTGATAATCACATAATAACTGAAGAATTTAACACTGATTTCGGAGAAGCTTTGCTTGAAGTAAATAGCAATTTCTGTGGCAGTTCTACTTTACAATTTGGTGGTCTTCTTTTAAATGACAATACTAAGTGTCCTCAGTTCACCAGAAGGCTTTGCATGCTCTGAAGGGATGGGGTCTTTTTGCTTGTATGTGCTAATTTTCTGTCTGAGCTTACTGTCAGAGTGAACTAAACAGTTGTATTTATCTTCACTTTTTTTTTCTCTGTAGAGGAAAGGTGACATCAAATTTTACGTAGAGAATAAATTTACATGAAAGAAAAAATACTTGAATCAAAACACAGCTTTGTGTGGAAACATTTCCACATTTCTGTGGAAATGAGGAGTTGTATTACAAGAGCTCTTCCTCCTGAGTTAACAATTTCGGTTTTAGTAGATAAGGTATTTGTGACAGAAGTAAAATTGGAATGAAGCTGGACTTAATCTGTGCCTTTCTTGGGTACAGATTCAGGTTACTCCTATAGGAGGAAACAAAAACCAAACTCTAAACTTTTTCGTTTTTTTTAAGAAGAACCTCTCTGGAGAGAAAATTTGGCTTCTTACTGTGTTATAAATGTACCTGTGTGTTTCCTAACAATTTTTATCCTAAGGAGCCTTTATTACTGAATCTTCTGCTGGTAAAATATATTTGCTATTAAAGCAGTTGGTTACTTTGTAAAATAAATAGCAACATCTCAAGAATATGAAAATTGGTATCCTGAAGAAGCACTTGTTTGAATCCAGATGAAAAAGTGTTATTCCTTAGCAGCCTGAGAAGACAGTTGTGAAAAATAGTTTTGGTGGTACCATACAGAGCTTTTCAATCTTAAGGGACGTGTCAGGAAAAGATCCATGATAGAGGTACCCTTCCTTATCACAAGTGCTACCTATGCAGAGCTCCTCCATGGTAGATGTTGGTAAGAACTTAACTAATGGAAAATTCAGTTCTGTGAGGAAGACTTATTTCTTGTTTTCCCTTTTTTGATAAAGGCAGATACATATCTGGAAGATGCAGATCACAGCCCTCAGTTTCTATCTCATTGTATCTTTTTCTGATTCTCAAAAAAAGCTGATTAGCAGAGACTTCAGATGTACCTTTTTGTCTTTTGACATGTATTGAACTAGTGTATTGTGGACTATTTTAGTGCAAAAGTAGTATACAAAAAGTACTGAGTTTTAATATAGAAAATTTTATGCTCCTTACAGTGAACCACAAGCCATGTGCTATATTGAAACAGCTAATCTTGATGGGGAGACAAATCTTAAAATACGACAGGTATTTCACCTTCTTTTCTTTATTTAAATATCTAGTATTAGGTATGAAGTGGAGTCTAGCTTGCATGGTAACAAAACAAGGACACTTAAAAAAAAAAAAAAGCGTATCTCTTTCCAGGTGACCATGAGCTGCCTTTTCAACAGATACAAACCCAAGCAATAATGCCTTGTGTGGGAGTGTAAGAAACTGATCTGGGGGAAGTATTGTAAGCCACAAAGGCAAGTCAAACAGACCTTGGCTGTGTTTTGCTGTAGTTCCAGTAAGTGGAATTGAAGTGCTATGTTTAAAAAAAACTACAACAAAAACCCCAAATGAACCCCAACAACAAAATAAAACACAGGTGTGCTTGTGATGGGAGCTAAGTTTCTGCCCTTGCAAGTGCCAGTCTGTTTGCTTCTGCTTCTGCAGAGCGCTCAAAAGGACCTCTCCTATGTTTAAGCTATTTTGTTCTCTCTTTGTGGTAACTGGGGAACTTTATTTGGATCTTTATAGCTTAGTTGAAGAGATAGTGTTGATCATGGTGTTTAGAGATAGTTGAACATCTTTGCCTTCTTTCGTTACAAAAATTGCATTTGGATCACAGTTCTGAAATACAGATTATTTGTTTCTTTAAAAGCTGTACATTTGGTGCTTGCTTACTACCTTTGTAGAAATGAGATTTACTGTTCTGGATCAGACACTATATCAGATCTTGACTTCCTGTCATGTTATTTGCTTTAGGACATATGCTTAAAGTATGGAGTTAAGGTTGTGGGACCTCTTAAGGCCTTGTTCTGGCTTGCAGTGCTGCAGTCAGAATCTGACAGAAGAAAAAAACAATCTCCCCTAATGAAAGGGGGTGTTCATAGGCTGATGAAAAGTGATGGTGTTGTATGTACACTCTGAGACGGAGTAGCAAAGTCAGGTTACAGTTGCATGATGAGTTGATAATTAACCAGTAGTAGGAACTGAGCATACCAGCTGCAGTGACCCGAGAGAGTCACTCTTAGAAGTGACCGCATTTAGCAGCAGTGACACATGGGTGGAACTGTACTTTAGAGAAAAGCCAGGCCTGTTTATACCGCTTGCCTCCTACTTCCTCCTGCACATGTGTAACTTCACACTTTGTGGATGGGACTTTCCTCTTGATCACAGAGGAGTCATGTAGGTAATATAACTCTTGTGTAGAGTGATTTAAACCAATCCTATGTAAGAAGGATCATATGTCTTCATAAGTGAATATTCCTCGCAGGAAAAAGTAGTTATCCATTGAAAAACAAAACTAACCAAACATACCCTCCCAAGAAAAAACCCCAAAATACCCCCACCAAACCAAAGTGAAAATCTCCCCACCAACAAGCCTGACAGAAAATCTCCACACATTTGATTATACTTGATATATGTTGGAGGAAAGCACCATTTTCCTAGGTTGCCTTCTAATAAAAATTTTCAATAAGAATTTCCTTTGGATGCATCTCTGCAGGGGTTGTCTCAAACTGCTAGTCTCCAGTCAAGGGAAGAATTGATGAAAGTATCTGGAAGGATAGAGTGTGAAGGACCCAACCGTCATCTTTATGACTTCACTGGAAACTTGCGCTTAGATGGTCAAAGGTATTACATGACAACAAAGCCATAAATTAATCTGGTTTGGAAAGATGCTTCTTGTGTGCTTCTGATGTGCGACACTGAGCACATGCATGTTCTTGCTGGGGAAGAGAAGGGTAATAATTAACAGTTGTTAAGGAGAGCATCCACCAGCGTAAGATAACTTAGCTCTGTCTTTCTATGAAGTCTTCTGCTTATTATGGGAGAGTTGGCTTCTTTGAATAGTTTGGTTTTTTAACCAAAAGTAAGAGAAGGAAGATTTGGGGAAATGGTTGGGAGTTTTTAGGCCTGCCTTGTTACAGAGATACACAGAGGAAATGGGTAACTTTTCCCTTCTAACTAGAGCTAGAGGCTACATAGTTCTCAAGTTTTGGGTAAGCAGAACAGCTCTCTTCTATCACCTTTGCCCTACTGTGCTTTAGCAGGGATTAGATTTACCCAGGCTTCAGTGCTCTCTTGGATTGTGTGGACAATGTAAGTTCATTATATTACTTACCTCCTTTTGTGGGGTTGGTTTTTGTTGTTTTTGGGTTTGGGTTTTTTTGATAAAGGAATAAGGCTGAAAGGAGAATTGTTTTTCCTTAAGTGTTATGAAGAATTGAAAGATATACACACTTCTTTTGCTTTGCAGCCCAGTTCCTGTTGGTCCAGACCAGATCTTGCTAAGAGGTGCACAACTGAGAAACACTCAATGGGTCTTGGGTATTGTTGTGTATACAGGACATGATACAAAGCTCATGCAGGTAAAGTTTTTAAGGAGATCCAGATTCTAGGTCTGATAGAAGTTAGTAATCTTTCCTGTTTTCTCCTTGTTTGTTGGACTTGATCTTATGAAAAGGTTTGGCTCATTGTAGCTGTTTAAGAGCTGGAGGCCTTGAGGAGTACAGGGATACTGTTGTACTTGAGATTGCATGCACACGTGTATAAATGTTAAACACTTGGGTATTTGTCTCAAAACACTTCAATATATAAGCAAAACTAACTATATTTTATCTTACTTTATCTGGTAGCTGGAAAATATTTGAAACTGAGGTTTAACAGCTGAGGAAATGGTAATGACCACCTACAGTTTTAGCACTTGGAGAGATTAAAGTTAAGACTACAGTCTCTGTCTTGCCTTAACGGCTGGAAGTGCCTGGAGAGACCAGCAGCATACTATGTCTGTGTCACTCACCTCTGCGGTGAGCAGGCGGGTGGACAGCCAGGAGATGAGCACACTGGGTCTTTACAACAGAATGGTTCTGTTCCCCTCATCTGTCAGTTTTGGAATCCTGAGGAGTGTTGACTTCTCCTTGTACCTTGTTGAGCTTTGCAAACCATATTGAGCTATATAGAGTTGAAGTTGTATATTCTATAATGGACTCTAAAAATAGAAACTGAGTTTGCTTCTGCAATTTCCTCTTGTATAAACCATTGCCAGACTTTTTGTTTTTGTTTTGTTTTCTTCTTCTCCTGCTGTTGTTCAGAATTCAACTAAAGCACCTCTGAAGAGATCAAATGTAGAGAAAGTGACCAACATGCAGATCCTGGTTTTGTTCTGCATTCTCCTGGTGATGGCCCTTGTGAGTTCTGTAGGTGCCTTATTGTGGAACAGGACACATGGTGAAGTCGTCTGGTACCTTGGCTCCAACAGTGAGTATGCAAGCAGTGTGCTAGGGATGTGTCAGACTGGGTTTTCTAAGCTCTTAGTTTCTTATTTTATGTATTCATTTAGCAAAGCTAAGAAACACACACAAGAAACAAAGCCTGTTGCTAACTTTTTGATGGCCTAATTTTTTTTATTTTTTTTGAGAATGGGCTGGCATAAGTGAACTTGCCAGTGAAGCTTTTGTTAAAAAAACCTTAAAAAGATTAAATAAATATTATTGGGCTGCCACCCCAAGAGCAGGGCAGAAACAGAAGGAGGGCAGCAGTTACTCCTGGATATCTGGTGTTCAGGTTTTCAGCTCTGTGGAGATGCTATGCATAAACTTGTTTTCAGAGAAGGTCATGTACTGCTGCCTTGCGTATCATACCTGATTGCAGGATAGCAGGTGTCAATCTGATGATACTAAATTCAACTTTATGCTTGTGCACAGAAGCAAAGGATTTCTCTAGCTGTTTTTCAGTCAGAAACACTGATCTACTCTTGTTGTAGAGAAAACTGTTAAATATTAAAGGTTATGATTTTCTATTTATTGGATAATGTCTCTGACTTCTGTCTCTTAGCATGTCTATTAAAGAGTTTTTATTGTACTTAATTTATACTCCTTGAATTTATTAGTTCACATATCAAAGAGAGACGTTATGCAAACACTTCAAGATGAAATATATTGCTCTGCAGTAGACTTCTGACTTGGGGAGGTTACATTAGCTAGCTCTAAAATGTGTTGTTATGAAAATCTTGAGATGCAGATCTGAAAACAATTCTCTCAAACTGCAAATGGTCTTTCTGCTGGTGATTGCATAGCAGATGGCAAAGGGTGTCTTCTGCAGTTTAAGAACTGCGGTTGTGGTAGTAATAAAAAAATGACGTAGGAGGTACATGGAAGTGCCTCATATTTGACTCTGGTTTTTGGTAGTTGTAATATATTCTAGTAGCAGTATCAGCAACTTTCAAAGTTACTTCCCTACCCTCCCCCTTGCTTTTTGATGAGGAAGTTTAAATGTGTGCCTTCCCATGATGAGAGTAATATTGGAAGACATGAATGGAACAAACTCTTAAACTTGTGCTAATATAGAACAGGTGCAGTCTGTACTAAACCAGTATGACACAGTCTGTATAGATGCTTTTTTGTAAATGGAATGCACAGTTTCTATAACTTTTGTAATTGCCACACACAG